TAGTCTTAAACTTAAATACGTCTGTGAGGACTGAAAGAAGAGGAGAGCATCTTCACAACTCCACGCAAATGATATCGAAGAATGAATATTCAACAGCTTTTGATTTTGAAACATTATGTGGACCGAGAAAGACACATGTGTACGTAACCATATACCCTTGTCTGCGCTCTGTGGTCCATATCTTCATTATTATATAACAATACAGAGAAAAGAGGAAATATGGATTTATTTACTGTTAAAACACATATTATTCCTCGTCATTTTTTTTTAAATTTTAATAGTTTATAATAATAACGGAACGAGTATTTCGATCCATGTTATAAATCAATTATCATGTCTTAGATAGTATTTATTTTGAGATTTGAATATATCATAATTTTATTTTTAAAAAACATATCAGTTCTTTTATCTCAATACTTAACGATATAGACGTCATCTTATACCTGCTATTTCAAGTTATCATTAGTCTTAAAATATGAGTTAACGTATAAGAAGAAAATATATTTATATTATATAATATATTGATTCAAATTATGTTCAAAATATTTTTAATCTTTAAATTTATTTTTTTGTCTTTAAATTTAAATTTGATTTTTTAGTCTTCGTAATAAAAAGAAAAAAAGAAGAAGCTATTACTATGTCTTTAGTAGGGATTTTTTGTATTCCTATTTAAAAAATGAAATAAAACATAAAATATATACCTTTTTGTTTTCATATTTCTAAAAGACTAAAACTTCCATTAACATTTGACGATCACATATCTGAGAGGACAAGACTCGCATTAGTTTTGATGCAAAATAGTTATATGTTAAAAAATTAACAATCATTTCATCTATCACAAACTAAAATGTTTGAAAGGATAATTAGGATTAGAATTTATAAATGAAATATCGTTTGATTTTTTTTCTATATCTTGATTAAATTATTTGAATAATTTTTATGATTTTAAAATAATTTCCTATTTTATTATTAACATCTTTAATATTGCCTTTATCATGACTTTTATACATTCAAATTCTAAAGAATAAATAATAGAAAAGTTAATCTGCAATTTTTTTTTGAAAAACTACTAAAATTGCATTAACTTTTTATACCCAAAAAAATTATATGATAATAAGAAAAATATGTTTTTTCAACAAACTTAAGAAATTAATCATACTTTTGCCAAAACTGTAGCAAAATAGACAGAAATTGTAGGAAAAGTTAAAAAATATTTATATTCACAAAACAAATAGAAAAAATTGCATAAAAAATGGCTGATTCAAGAATATTTAACTTTATATATATATATATATATATATATATATATATATATATATATGTATATATGTATAATGAAGGACAATGAAGATTATAATACATAAATGAAGTATTTTGAGAAAAAACTTCTATATTTTGATTAAATTATTTGAATAATTTGTATGATTTAATAAATTATTTAAAAATATAATTTTTAATAAATAGATATCAAATTGTGATATTTAAAATAAAAAAAAATCCTGATAAAAATTAGTTTTCATTATTTGTGATAAATTTTTAGGCATCATACTAAGATGTGCTGCCCTGAAGCAGTGTGAAGATAACAATGGCCTGCCAGTCAATATCTATAAGTAATCATTTAACTCTTATATTTACAAACATTGTCCCTTAATCCTTTTACTTATAAACTTTACATTTTAGTCATATTTAAATTAATTAAAAATATGTTTATATGTGAAAGAATAATTACAATTGATAGTAGTGGTAGGACAACTTGGTGGAAACCACGTGAGACTTATTAAATCAACACCACTATGTATATTCTCTACCACGTTCGGAAATGAAAGCAATAATGGAAAAATATTGAAATGAAATTGGAACTTAAATTATATTTAGAGAATAAATATTAAATTTACCTTAATTTTCATTATATGAATAATTCAAACAGATTCAATTTAATTAAAAACACTATTACATGAATATCATTGTGATGAAATCTTTTAAAATTATATATATCATGTCAAAAATAATTATGTAATTTTTAAAAAATATAACATTTTTAAGTAATGTAAATATTTTATAATACAATATCCATTTATTAATATATATACATATTAAATTATAAAAAAAATAATGTTGAAATTATTATAAAAAAGTAATTAATTAATAAAATAGTAATAATAATAATAAAATGAATTAATTAAAAAAAAGAGATAATAAACTTAGATTTTTTAAAAGATAAACATGTATTTAATAAAAATAAATGAAAAAATAATAAAAAATAAATAAAATGTTATTATAAATACATGGGAGGGTAAGAAATTTTACTTGCAAACTGAGAAGAAGAGGAGGAAAAGAAGATAAGAAAGAGAAGAAGAGAAAGAAGAAAAAGAAGAAATGGAGAGAGAAAGGAATAAAGAGAAAAGAGAAAGAGTATAAGAGAAAGAAGGAAATGAGAGAGAAAGGAATAAAGAGAAAGGAGAAAAAAAGAGAAGAAAAAGAAGGAAATAAGAGAAAAAAAGGAAAAAATATATATATATATATATATATATATATATAAATATTTTAGTAAAATTTTAGTTATTAGATATTATTATTAAGGTTGGAGAATAAAATATTTATTATATTATTTATTTATTTTTAATTTAGATGTTTGATTAGGGTGTTTTTAGTTTAATTTTTTTTTATTTATTTATTTATATCCAATTTTTTTTAATTAAATATTGATTTTTTTTTATTTTTATCTATTTATGTATAATAATATTTTATTTATTTATTTATTTATTATCATCTACATATTATTTATTTTTTATATTTATTTATTTATATCATGTGAATATATAATTACGTGTTTATTTATATTGAGTTATGATTATATTTTATATTTATTTATTTATATTTAGTTATATATTAATTTTTTTATATTTATTTATTTATTTTTAATTATGCACTAATTTTATTTTATATTTATGTTCAGTTATGATTCTTGTTTATTAATTTATATTATTTAATTATTATTAAGTTAAAAAAATATATTTAAGAAGATTTGATGATATTGTAAATAGATATTGGACCTTGAAGATTGAAATAGTAAATATCATTTAAAGAGTGATTAAAGTTTAACTCATTTATCTTTGACTAACCCTAAAAATCTAATTCAAATTTTATATTATAAAATAAATGAAACATGTTGATGAAATTGTAAAATTGATTTTATATATTAATTTAAGATAATATTATTTCATATGATATTTATTATATTTTTTCTATTTTATCATGAATGCGTGTTATAATTAAATTTATTAATTTAAATAGGTGGAGACGAATTGAAAAACAAATAATATTGATAAATTAATAAAAAAAATATTTATCAAATTTAATATTATTTATAAAAACAATATAAATCTGTAAAGTTTATATAAATATTTATCTTATATTTTATTTTTGTCAAAGTTAATAAAAAATAATAATATCTTAAAATATAATTAAATTAATATATTGATAAAGAGAGATGTTATAATATGAATAAAAATATATATAATATAATATTATTTTTCATATATATATATATATTATTTATATAATTTAATATATATAAAATAAAAAATACTAAAAATATTTTAATTATAACTAATAATATAATTTGAATAAAAAATATTTTCTTAATAAAATATGGTAATGAAATACTGGTTGAGAACACTGCATGTATGAATATCCATTTTAATTTACTATTTTACTATTTTTATTCTTTTTCTATTAACTTTCTCTTCTATATTTTTTCTTTCTTTTTTATTATAATAACGAGTATCATATCCTCTTCTTCTATTATTATTATTATTATTATTTTGGAGTTTTAATATTCACGAAAATGTGTAATTTTGATACTATATATATACATTTTATTTGTATTTTTTATTTATTTGATTCAGTAAAAATATAGAAAATATATTAATTTAATATACCAGTAATAAATAATTTAATCAATTAAAATATAAAAAAATGAGCATATCCAAATTTGACAATTGAACTAAAAGTGTTGATTTTTTAAAACATAAAAATGACGAAAAAAAGAAGAAGAAGTAAAATCACAGATAAAAAAAGATAAAAAGTTATAGTTTAGTTTTGGTATTGATACGCTTATTGTCTCTAACTATTTTCTAATTAATTAGATCTGTTAAAAAAAAAAGCATTTATCATGTGGTAATGCCATGATATCCCAAAATTTAATGTTTTGGGCTACATTTGGAGTGGTCGAATATCACCACCAAACAAATCCGCTGCCAAGTACGGAAACTCCACAAAAATTAAGTACGGCGCATTCGCGGAAAATCAATAGTTAGATATCATTTTGTGATTAAGCAATTACCGACTACGTGATCAATCAACATAAAATTATTTTAACTTAATTAAAACTCTCTAATTTTAATTCTTAGCTTGTTAATAAGTTAATTTTAATCTATAAAAAAGTCAATTTCATTTTATTTATAAATTTTTATAAATAAATTATTCCAAACATACCTTTATTATCTAATTAGATACGTCTTATAAATAAATTTAGTTTTAATCGTTAATTATAATGCTCTCTTTTCGTGTGTGCATTTCTTATAATTTTTTTCCCCTTTTAATCTGGTTAAATATATGGACAGCGATAAATCGTGTTAGAATTTAAAAGGCTGCAGATTCACACTTTCTATATATTTATCAGCGCAATTAATGAGTTTGCCGTCGTCGACAACAAATTATTTCTATTCCATGCGCCGACCACAAGTTTGCGCATTAAATAATTTCGTTTTCATGAGTTGCAGGAAAATACTTTTATAAATATTCTATTTTTTAAAACTTTTATTTTTCTAGTAAAATCAGAGACACACTATAAAACTCTGTAGTAGTAGTTTTAACTTCACGTTTATCTTATTTGTCCACATTTTTAAGGTTCATTCTATTAGTATATATACTCCAATGCTGGCTGTATAAATGCACATCGATAGTGGCGGCTAAAAGGTGTGGTTAGAGAATACAACATGGTGTCCTCTGAATCAGCGAGAACGTCTGAAGAAGTGGTGAATATTCAGGAACTCATGAAGAAACCACTGACTTCAGTTCCTCAACGCTACGTTCAACGACAGTACTATAATGAACCCTCACTTTTCCCAGATGAAACCATTTCTCAAGCTCTCCCCACCATCAACTTCAAAAAACTGATCCACGGAGAAGACACAGAACTTGAGCTAGAGAAATTGAACTCAGCTTGTCGGGATTGGGGTTTCTTTCAGGTTGGCAAATTAAACTGCCTTTTACATTTCTATTTTCTATATTTGGTCTGAATTTATATGCACTTTATGTATATGCAGTTGGTGGAGCATGGAATAAGCCCTCTAGTTCTGAAAACGCTAAAAGATGAAGTTGAAGGATTCTTCATGCTCCCCTTGGAGGAAAAGATGAAATACAAGATAAGTCCAGGTGATGTTGAAGGCTACGGAACTGTGATTAGACCAGAGGATAAACAACTTGATTGGGGCGATAGGTTGTATTTTAAAACCAACCCTCGTAGTATAAGAAAGCCACATCTTTTACCACAGTTCCCTTCGTCACTCAGGTACATCTACCTTTAGAAGAAACACTTCAACTATATATATATATATATATATATATATATATATATATATATAAAGTGATTTGTCATGGTATATGGTACTTAGTAGTTAAATGTGTTTCAACATATAAAGAGAAAGAGAGTTTATCAATAAATATCAAAACCCTTAAATTTATGAGGATTTTTGGCAGGTAAATGATATATCTTACGTGTGCACATGGATATATTGATTACTTAAACTATTTGTTATATGCAGAACTATCTTAGAGTTATACATCGAGGAACTGCAAAATCTTGCTATGAGACTTGTGGGGTTGCTCGGGAAAGCACTGAAGATAGAGAAGAGAGAGGTGGATGTGTTCGAGGATGGGGTACAAAATATGAGGATGACATACTACCCTCCGTGCCCTCAACCAGAGTTAGTAATGGGACTTTCTGCTCATTCTGATGCATCAGGAATCACCATTCTTAACCAAATTAATGGAGTGAATGGCCTGCAGATTAAGAAAGATGGAGTTTGGATTCCAGTGAACGCCATCTCAGATGCCCTTGTTGTCAACATTGGAGACATTCTAGAGGTTTGTATGAATCTTATTCTTCTCTCTGTACCAATTATAGAATTATCACATTTTTCATACCATCATTTTTTTTTTTCACATCAATCATTTTATATCTCTTTGTAGTATGAAAAACTGTAGAAATTATACATCAAAGGGTGGATTGAGAGAAGTCAAATACAATACGCAAGTCTTTTCCTAATGACTGGATCGTATCTTTACATATATTTTGTTTTCATTTTTTTTCTGTACGATCCTTGCATACTCATTAGTTTTTTAACCTTGTTTAAGAGTTACAAAAGTGGATTGGCTTTTCCTGTCCTTTGACTAGATCCTTATTTAGCGGAGAAATTTCATCTTAATTTCTCATATTAAAAATCATTCTTTCAAAGTTACTATCTTATATATGAGTCAAATAACTTGCATCGAAACTCCACGGGTGCGTTTTTTACAACCCATGCAAGTTTTTTTATTATTTGATACTTCACATATAGAGTATTTGAATGGGACAGATGGATTGAACAGAAAATAAATTGACCTTAACCATTCAATGGTAAAAGAGAAGAAGAGAGATGCTACATGTGGATGTGGAGGTTGTGGTAGTTAGCAACTTCCATATATTATATCGAGGACAAAACAATCTATATAACTACAAATACTAAATAATTCCGTGTAAACAAATGTTGCAGAATGTATTTATTTATTATTAAAATAATTTTATTTATATCAGTCTTTTAATGTTAAATTATGAAGAAAATATAAGTTAGATTTTTCATTTTATATCTTTATTTTTTTTATCCTTTTAATTGCTTAATAAATAAAGTTATTTACGTTATATATTTTATAAAATAATTTAAAATTATAAATTAGCTAATATAATCGATAAAAATAATACTTTTAAATTTAAATTAAATTTCTTGTCATGTATAAATTAAAATAGCATAACAATTTCCTTAACTAGTTTAAATTAGTTAATAATTTATCGATAAATATCTACTTTATTTTTCGAAATATGTATAGAAATAAAAATATTTAATTTTTTTAAATAACTCAAATAAATGAATAATCAAGGTAGTATATATGTATGGTGTAAATTTCCCTTGTTTATTATATATTTCTAACTATTTGCCTTTTAATCTGTCTATTTTACTTACTTGTCTACCTACTCACACAAAGGAGATCGAGGGGGTGTAATTTAGTTTTATACTGTATAATCTTAAAAAGATATATTTTCTACGCCTAAATTTTTACTGTTTTATAATATGAGGTAAAGGAAAGATTATCTCTTTAATTAATGGCAATATTATTGACTTTTTATGATAAATTATTATTGACTTTTATAAATAGTTTCTTTAAAAGCTATACGCATGACAATTTCTAATTAGTTAACATTCGTATTGAGAATTATATAGCCATACTAGGTATAATATATGCCAATATAATTTTGACTTCTTAATCCATTAGTATATAAAAGAAGATAACAAAGAAGAAAGGTTTTACAAGCAAAAGACGGAAAGAGAATATTAGGGTTTTGTTAGAAAAGAAAAATACAATAAATAGCGTATTATGTAGGTGTGTTAAATGTTTTGAGATATATTAAAATACATGAAAGTGTTTTGTATGGTAAGGAAGATGAGTGTAAAAGTAAAAGAGAAAACGTTGGAATGTGCAGATTATGAGCAATGGAGGATACAAAAGCGTTGAGCACAGGGCAACGGTGAATTCAGAAAAGGAAAGGATTTCCGTGGCTATGTTCTATCTCCCCAAGTTTCAATCTGAGATTGGACCTGCACTCAGCCTCACAAACCCAGAAAACCCCCCTCTATTCAAAAGAATTGGAGTGGAGAAATATATCCAAGATTACTTCACTCGGAAGGTGGATGGAAAGTCCTATTTGGAGTTTATGAGAATCTCAAATCATACTGTTACCCACGCCTCTGTCTAGGTTAATTATGTGTATTGGACAATGCCATAACATGTACTCTTCACCAACTATTATTGTTCAATAAATATCGTATGATAATAAAGTTTGGCATATTATCTGTATTGTTCAACTATCCTAACTTTTCGGTTCTGTTCAATGTCCTTTTTATTCAACCCACTGCAATATTTGGATAATTTTAAATATACCACATTTAAAGCTTCAAAATATATTTGTAAGTCAACGATGTCCCAGTCCAGATCAAATAAAATGTGAGAATTCAAGTAAAAATAAAATATATTTTATCATTAAATATGAGTAGTTAATATGTTATTTTTTTTGTAAAATTTTAAATAATATAATTGCAGATTGATGGAAGTTCGGACACATATTGGGAGATTTAAAGTTTTATATACAAATATTTAAAAACTTCTTTTAAATTAAAAATGATTTGGTAAACGATTTTTAAAAATTTACTTAAGTTATTGTTTGCCTCATTCAGTGGAAAACTAATAAAGGTAGATTTTGCATTCACAGTTTTGAAGTAATAAATTAATTTTAATACAATTACATTAGATGTAGATTGGATTGGTAATTTGTTTTGGAACCCATCACATCAAAATTATACCACACCTAACTATAATTGAATTAACCAAAATAAATCTAAACAATATTAATGACACTTTAAGTTAAGCAATGTTAGTGAAGTTAAATTGAATTATATAGATGAACTTGAGTCTATTTATATTTTAGTCTCAAATAAATTATGGCTGGTTTATATTACAAACCAATAAATTATTTTATTACCGGCCATGGAAGGTACATATTGCACACCTAAATTAGAAGGAAGACAGATATATATACACATATATTGCTCTTATTATTGGAAAGTACAGATAAGTGCATACAATATGACATCAACTTGCATATAATATATATGCATCAAACTTCAGAACTTTGGAATGCACACTAAAATGCTCTTTCACCCGGGATCTTCATAAGGTCTAAGTAGGATTTTCCATCTAATGACTTGCGAGAGAAATAATCTTGAATATATTTCTCCATTTTGATGTTTTTGTATAGAGGGGGATTTTCTGGACCAGTGAGACTAGCTGCAGGTCCAACTTCAGATTCAAATTTTGGAGAAAAAAACATACCAATGGAAATCCTTTCCTTCGTGGAGTTCACTGTTGCCCTGTGTTCAACACTTTTATATAACCCATTGCTCATGATCTGCAAATTCCAGCATTACACAGTGTCGATCGCAAAATATATACAAATTTTAATTCCTTATTATCAGGGATGGCAAAATGGGTTAGGCCCGGCGGGCCGGTGGCGGGGCGGGTTGGTGTTTTCAGCCCACCAGCCCGTTTTGGCCCGCCCTGCCAAGCCCGCCAACCCGTCGGGCCAACCTCGCAGGACGGGCGGGCCAGCCCGCGGCCCGCCTAATTAATAAAAAAATAATTTTTTACTGTAATAAAAATAATTATAAATATAATATATAAAGTTAAAAATTTAAAAAAGAGAATTAAAAAAATTTTATTCTCACATAAAATATTCTCCTTCCTAAAACATAATCTTCTCTCCTGTTCTCCTTGTTTATCCTAAGCACTCGATTATTTTTATCCTTATTACTTGAATTAATGGTGTAAGAATTACTCAACCAAGAATAATATGAAGTTTTATCAAATAAAAAGATACAGGTATTTGAATTTTTTAATATAAAAAATATAAATTTTATAAGTTTAACGTTATATATATATATTTGATATTATTTATTATTATATAAATTTTATTATTGTTCTAAATTATAATTTCTTAAAATAATGTATTGATTTATATTATTAAATTAAAATTATATATATATATATATATATATATTGACAAACAAATAATAATTTTATTATTAATTTATTAAAAAAAATTATTTAAATTTTTTTTCTAAATTATGGCGTGCAACTCACCAGCTCGCCAACCCGTCTCTTGGCGGGTGGGCTAAGGTCTACACCGTCATGACTATATCGGGTCAGCCGCCTGCCCGCTTTTGGCGACTAAAGGCGGAGCGGGCCAAAACAGGGCAGACTGACCCGTTTTGCCATCCCTACTTATTAGTCACACACAACATATATTTTTCTTTACATTTTACTCTTTTTATAGTTTAATTTTCATACATATTGTAACTATAAATATTGTCATTCAAAGTACAAATTATTTTACTCAGTTTTTAAATTAATTGTTAAAAATTAACTAAATTAATTGTACAATCATCATAGTGTCTCCCACAATAATATCTCGTATGTTTATCACATAACTCAAGTCAAACCTACACGTATATCGATAATTTTAAGACATGCATATGTTCCATGTTTTCAGTAAACAAAACACAGTCAAGAGATCATTTAAAGTGACATGATTCTTCTCCGATAGACACGGCATTTTTTTATTGTGACTACATGCATGACCCAATTGAAAGCTGTGATAATATATATTCATCTCAAAATAATTAATTATATTAAAAAAAGCCACATTATTCACAAATCAATTTTAATAATTCAATAAACTATTGTGTATAATAAAAATATTAATTTTATAATAATTAAGTTATAAGATATACTAACAATTATGTGTTTAGTTATTATTTTTTGAAATAGTATAGTTATTTAGGTCATTTCTAACAAAAATAAGTCACATAAATTATTTTTTATTAAAAAAAATGTAAATAAAATTTGTAATGGCGTATATTTTTAAATAATTTATTATTAATTTTATTCTGAAAATTTTAAAAAATTTAACTCTTTTATTCTCTTTTCTCATTTATTTTGTTTTATTTATTTTTATAAATTATATAATAAAATAACTATAAAAAAAATTAAAAAATATAATATAATTTTTTTCTAATAAAAAATTACTTTAAACAATTAAACCAATAACTCCTGTTAAAAATACTATTCATTGCATGTGATTTAAGTTCTCACCGATATCCTAACTTTACCATCGAGACACGTGGGAGAAAACAAAATCCTAAGATTGTAAAATAGTGTCTAATTAAATATTTTGTCCACTTATTAGCTAATTTTAGTTTTAAACATAAAGATTTTATTAGATGAAACTATATTCTTAGTTTTATAGGTTATGTCCATATTAAAAATAAGAATGATTTTTTTAAATTTTGCTTTGTTTAGTCTCTTATTATTTTAATGAGTTTTATCTAACCTCTTCATGATTTATTTTTAAGTTTTTCTTTTTTATATGTAGACATGTTATACCCTTCATCTTTATTATATATATATATATATATATATATATATATATATATATATATATATATATATATATATATATATATATATAAACATTATTTACTGTCCTTACAAAGATTTCTATGATATTCCAGCGTACACACACATAAATATAATTTATATCAAGTTAAAATTTAAATCAGATGCGGTATGCATGGATAAACGTGGATATAGAATAACTTATATGTGTAGGAGACGGGAACAAACTTCTAGAAGGTCTCCAATATTGACGATAAGGGCATCTGGGCTGACATTGACTGGAATCCAAATGCCATGTTTCTTAATCTGAAGGCCATTCACTCCATTCAATTGGTTCAGAATTGTGATCCCTGCTACATCTGAATGAGCAGTGATGCCCATTACCTTCTCTGGTTCTGGGCATGGAGGATAGTATGTCATTCTCATTGATTGCATCCCATCCTCAAACACCTCCAACTCTCTCCTTTCTATCTTCAGGGCTCTTCCCAACACCCCAAGCAATGTCATTGCAATATTTTGCAACTCCACTATGTATACTTCTAAGATACTCCTGCGTAGAGTTGAAGCAATCATAAATATTGAGTTTCCTCTAAGGATTAATAAATATTAAGTGTATTGTTAGCATTGTCTTGTTGATATATATATTAATTACATTACTAGTATAAACTCAAAGTTTATAAAAAATGTTATACATTTATTGTTTCTGCATACTTGCATGGTTGCATCCTTGACAAGTGAAGGGAAGCCAGAATAAGTTAGAATTTAGAGAGAATATACCTAAGGGATGAAGGGAGCTCTGGGAGAAGATATGGTTTTCTTCTGCTAAGAGGATTGGTTATCATATATACCCTGTCAGCCCAATCAAGTTTTTGATCCTTATTTGATAGGATGGGAGCTCCATAGCCTTCAACATCACCTGCCCTTATCTTGTACTTCATCTTTTCTTCCAACGGAAGCCTGAAGAATCCTTCAATCTCTTCTTTGAGTGTTTTCAGCACTAGTGGATTTATTCCATGTTCAACCAACTGCATACAAAGTAGATATAAATTAATTCAAGAGAAAATAAAACAGAACAAAATATGCTTACAAATCGCACAATGATTGCCATGAAGTATGAAGGCCTCTTGCCAACCTGAACAAAACCACAGTCCTTACAAGCTGAGTTCAATCTCTCTTGTTCAGTTTGTGTACTCTCTACATGAGTCAATTTTTTGAGGCTGATGGTTGGGATTGCATGAGAGAAGGATTCATCTTCTACAGATGAATTAGGTTGGTGATTCTGTGGTTGATTAACATAGCATTGAGGAACCGAAGTGAGGGGTTTCTTTATCAGTTCTTGCACAGTCATCACTGCTTCAGATCTCTCACAACTTGCTGACTTTTGTGAGGACGCCATTATTCTTTTTCTCCAAGCACACCCACCTTACACTAGTTGTATTCATGAGAATTTATAGATCCAGCGGTTACATTACAATAGATTCGTGGAAATCCTATTTTCCTTTTTACCCTTGTCAGAAACAATTTATTCTTCTCCACAGTTAATTTGTTTAACATGCTGTGTGAAGTTCAATTCCTAATCATATAATAAAACAACTTTATTATAAAATTTATTTAGATGATCTTTATCTCAAAATAATTAGTCACAATTATAAACCAAACAATTAATTATCTGGACAGTTTTTCTTTTTTCATGAGTAAAAATAGTGAATAAAAAGATACTTTCAATATTATAGGATAAAGTTTAATGAATAGAACAGTGAGTAAAAACCCACTCAATAATTATTAATCTTAATCCGGAAGCAATTTTACTTGATGGATTCAACTAGTCTCTGATATTCTTTCTCCATCAGACAAAAAAAAAATGTAAATTAACTTTGAAATTTAACCAATTAATTATGCTTCTTGCCACATAATTTAAACTGCTGTCTGTGGCGCCATGTTAGGAAAAAGGAAGAAGAAGTAGCATGCATGTGTATTTGTGACATACTTATTTAATTATTGGGGAAAACGTGCTAAATATTTAATTCCTAGTAATGGAAAAGCAAGATCAGCGGATTGGTGGGAATATGATCTCAAAGCACCATAAGAATTATACATTATTACACAAAAGTTTAAATAAATCAATTCACGCAGATCCACCCCATCCAGCTTGATCAGTTTAAAAAATCAATTAATGTATTCTTATATATAAAATTATATGTTATAGTCGTTTTATAAGTTATAATTTTAACAATAATACTTTTAAAATTTTTGTTCAATGTTATTTCAAACGAATTTTCAATCTTTTATCTCTTTTTAATTTATCCCTGCTGCCTATTTATTTTTAAGTTAAATTTCAATATTTATTAAATTAAATTTTTTCAATAATTAAAATAACCTTATACGACAATATAAATTGTTTATCAGTAAGCTGAAATATAGTTATATGTTCAAAAATATTTATCTATAATCAAATTTAATTATAATACAATTTATATTAAAGGTATTTCACTTTTTATAAATTCTAGTTTTATAAACAAATATTTATCACCCACAATCTGAACATTAATTAATTTAAAACACATTTAAATAATTCTATATGTTTATCAATAAGAAAAGGTATACAAATGGAATGAAGTATTAAAATATATTTTCCTGCAATATATTTTTTAATAAATAAACAATTTATTTCATAGCACGAGAATATGTCACTCTAATTATTGTGCATCACTTTCTTAACCAATGTTTAAGTAGGGTGAGCTATATATATTTCTTAATCTACTTACACTACTCATGGATTAATTAAAACAAGTTGACAGAGAGTTAGGATAATTTGTATGCATATTAATGTACCTTGTGTCTATTTTTTAATTTGATATTAAAATCTATTCTATTTGTATTTGTTTATATTCTTTATATTTATTTTTTTATATAAGGTTGAATTAGAGTTTCTAGATTTTAAAAATAGGAATTTCACATTCTTTGACCTTGAGTTTCCAGACATATGAAAATTAAGTTATTAATTTTTGTGAGAACATGTGATTATTACGAAAGTGACATGTATTCATCCATCTTTAATCAAAATAGGTTTGTGATGCATATATACTTTAATTTTTTATTTTATTTTATATATATGTTGATAAACTTTTAAGTGTGTTATAGTTTAAGATATTGCCAAAAGGTGTAAAAAAAAAAACAATGAACCGAAAGTTAAACCATGTCATATATATATATATATTCTTAAAGCATACAGAACTTTTATATATACAGGATTTTACAAATCAACATGTTAAATTTTGAAGTTTCATTTGAAAATACAAAACTTAATTTAAAAAGTATTCCCTCGTAACATTTTGGTCTTTAATAAACAAAATACCTGGAATTTTTGTATTTCAATTAAATAGCTATTAGTATTTTTTTTAATTATTTAGAACTATCACACGTTTTTTTTTTCCTCAATCTCTATTATTTGAATTCACTGAACCCTTTGAATTTGCTCTAAAAACCCATAAACTAATGTAGTATTTATCCAATTAAAAATATATTTTTTTTCACCTTTAAAACCTTAAGTTCACTTTTTTAAAAACCATTTTTAATGTTAAACTTTAAAAATTATTTTTCTCATCTCAAATCCATCTATTTATAATTTGATTAAAGATATTATAAAATACAGAATAATTTAAATGACACGTGTTTTTTCACAGATCCAGCAACTTTGTAAGAATATAAGATGTTTCATTATTTAAAAATTAGAATATATTTTCACTTTATTGGAAATGTACTCTTCTATTAACTCTTAACTGACAAGCAGAAATACATGTAAGTTTGACATTTAAGTTATTTGCACCGAATGTGATATAATAAACGCATAAATAATAATAAAAATTTACTAATTAATAATATTTTAAATTAGGTCTCTCTCTCTCTCTCTATATATATATATATATATATGATGGATAAGTCCTCTCAATTATTTTAGTTTAAACAAAGCTAATCCATTATCAAAGTAGCATGTTTCGTACTATCCAAATCCTCTGGGGATATCATCCGCACAATACACAATCATACAAATTAAAATGTTAAATTTGATGTTGGAAGTCTTAGATGTCACTTTCTTGGAACTACTTGTTTGCTTTATACAAGAAATCAAAGGATAAAGGGTTATACAATTCAGTTCAACCTTCTTGAAAAGGAAATATTGATCCTTTGTCGTAATAAAAAATATGATGAAATAATTAAACCCTAAACTTTCAAAACTTGATTTTATTATTCATAACAATCCTATCCAACTCCATCATCCTAACTACTTAAAGATGATTAATTATGACCTTTTAAGAAAATAAGAAACAATATTAAAATGACTCGTTTTATACATATAATACATGAATATTAATATTATATACTTATATTTCAAAATAAATAATACACATATAACTAAATCTTGATATAAAAAATATTAAATATTCATTTTAAAAAGTATTATTAATAGATTATTTTTTTAAAATAATATTGAATATAGAGTGAACTAATACACAAATCTAAGCCTGTCCATAAAATGTACAAAATATCTAGATTTAAATTTATTAAAATCAACCTTTAAGTTGAATATATATGTGAAATAGAAAATTAAATGATGCATCTTTTTTATCTTATCACGTTATCTTTCCATTCATTTGTCATAATCTAGTTCGATATTGTGATTGTTATCGACTTTATTAGTGAGTTTTTATATTCGATAGTGCTAGAACACAAAATTCCCAAATTTATGTGTTTACAATTTGTTAAAATTATATTACATAGTTATAACAATGCTGAACTTTCGTAAAGTTATGTGCTTCCTACGTTATCATACACACTTGACCTCGATTTGATGACTTAAACACATGGACATTTTATTTTCCTACCTACTACTTTTTAGGGACGAAACGTGTTTTTAGTCAACAAAACGTGCTTATTGATTTTTTTGTTTACTGAATACCATTAATTTATATAAGTGATAGATAGCAATAGCCAGAAATTTAAGTTTATATAAACGTGTCCATTGACTTTCTACTTATTAAGTTATAATTCACATAAAAATCTGCGCATTGACTTTCGTATATTTTATGAGCATTTTAAATTTAGATAATGCATACGCAATCATACTTCAAATACATGTACATTAAAGATATAAAGTAATCAAAATTGTAAAAAAAAAAACGCATATTTAAAAAATAAGTTCAAGATATGTTAAAAATAATTTGTGATGTGTTTTTTTAAGGAGAGTAAAAGATTATGTCACTCAATTAATTTACTCCTGTTTAATACACTATGGAAAATTGTTTAGGAAAGAAAGACAAAATGTAAAATGAATAAATTTGAAATAAATTAATTTTAGATTATCTGTTGCTAAAATTTATTGAAGAATAATAAATAATATAGCAATTTTAAAACAGATGTTTTTAAAAGAGTTTGAAAAAACTCAAAGAGACCATTAATTAGTAAATGATTTAAAATTTTACGATTTTTCAATAAAATAATTATTAAATAAAACTAAAAGTTGCATGTATATATAATAAACAATTTATTTTACTATATAGATATCATTCTATATTATATTATCAAATATTTTGGATATATATTTGTTATAAAAACGTGAATGTTTAAACACGTATAAGAAGGGTGAATTGAGTTTATAAAACCTTTTCAAATCTAATCAATTATTTAAATTTTTTTTTATAATTACATTTAAAAGAACTAAAATAATATTAAGATCACAAGAATGTCAAGATAAAGAAAAGAAAGAGAAGTATACAAAAGTTTATTAATTTGGTTAATGAATCTCCGTCCAATCCAACCAAGTAATCTTAACTTGAGTTTTTTATTGAAACTTGTTTAGTAACTAGATTATAACCTAATATATAAATCTTGATTACAACAACCTTTAATCAAAATTTAAAAACAAATGACAACATTTGAAAATATTTATTCTCATAATTTTCAAGCTAATTTAATGTACCTCACCTCACATCTATCAGACTACAATAAATATTGATAAAGAGAACGATTTCACCTTAAATTTTTGGAATACTGCATCCTATAACCAAGTAATCTCTTATTTAAATTTGATTTTATTCAATATTTTACATAATTACAAACATTTTCTTGATGTCCAAAACATTTCTTTTTTATGCTTTTATCGTTTCTTAAAGAGATATGTTTTAATTGAAGAAAAATTGCATATTTTTTAGAGTAAAAATATGTTGCAACTGATTCAGATAATTATTAGCAGAATATCTAATAGATTATTTACATGCAAGTGATAGTATGAAAATAATTCATATAATCGACTAGGTAACAACATAATTGATTATTCGCGCATTATATTAA